AGGAGTTCCCACAGAGGCCCAATTCAGATGAGGATCAGATGCTCTCAGGCTTTCTCCTAAGGTCTGGGTCCCTCCAGGAAAGATGTTGTCGTCAGGAATTTGGGGGTTGGACTGGCCAGAGAGCAGGGCCCAGGAAAGATGCTGATCTTGGGCAGCTGGTGGACGTGCCACCCAGAGTTGTAAAGGGAGATGAGGCGGGAAGAGACCCCAAGGGCTCCTGGGGACTGCAGGGAGGAACTGGGTTGGTCTGGATGCAAAGGATTAGGAAGAGGAAAGGTCAGCCCTGGCGTCCAGAAAAGAGGCTGGCGGGCGTCAGCGGGCCTGCAGCCCAGGGAAGCAGAGGGAGGTGAGGGCGGGACCAGGCCCAGAGAGCTACCGGGAGAGAGGCTGGCAGGCTGTCCATTTCTTAATCTTAACAGAAGGCGTCAACAAAAAAAGCCTCACGTAACCCTCAGAACACAGTGTCAATGGCAGTTAAATTCAAGCCAGGTAGCACAGTCTGTACTACTTTCTTGGCCAAATTATCTCATATTTTCCTTGGCCATAGGTGCCCAGTTCACTGTTTCAGTTTCAGACCCATTATTAGTTCTGGCTCTACTAACAGAAGACCATGATGAGGGGGCTAGCAAGATGTTTGTGTCAGTAAAGTACTTGCTGTGCCAGCCTAAGGACCTGAGTTCGGATGCCCAGAACTCATCTAAAAAACCAGGTGCAATGATACATGCCCTTATTCCCAACACAGGAGGATCCCTTAGGCTTGCTCACCTAGTCAGTCTAGCTGAATTGGTGAGCTCAACGTTCAGTGAGAGTCCCTGTCTCAAAAACAACTAGGTGTAACCCGAGTGAGGTGGTACACACCCGTTATTCCCAGCATTCGGGAGGCAGAGGCAGGTGGATCTCTGTTAGATCAAGGCAAGTCTGGTCTACATAGTGAGTTCCAGGCCAGCTGGAGCTACAAGGAGACCCAGAGACCCAGTCTCAAAGAGAAAGGGGGAGGGAGAAGAGGGGAGGGGAGGGGGAAGAAGAGGAAGAGGAGGAAAAGAGGGAGAGAGAGAGGGGAGGGGAGAGGAGAGAGAGAAATCAATTGAAGACTCCCAATGTTAACCTTTGGCCTCCACATGTATGTACACACACATGCATCTGCATACCCACTCACAAATAGAAAATCATACAGTGCGTGCACACACAAACACACACACACACACACACACACACACACACACACAGAGTAAAAGACCATGATGAATGAGGATCATCAACAGCAGCTGTGTTCAAACATAGACAACAACCCATTCTGATGATGCCCTGAAAGGGTAGTGGACAGTGTAAAAGAGCAAAGCTGCTCACCTCTCATGGTGGCTAGGGAGAGAAAAAGAGAAAGAGGAAAAAAGAGGAAGGAAGGATTCCAGGATATCACCCCCCAAATCATATCCCCGGTGACCCCACTTCCAAAAGTTTCTGCCACTTCCCAATAATGCCATCAAATATAAATTCACGAGTGGATGAATCCATTGGTTATGTCAAAGTACTCATAATCCAATCATCCAAACTTCCAAGGCATGAACCTTTTGAAGGCACTTAATATCCAAACCATGACACCCACCTGATGTAGTTACAAGACTAAGGCATGGACTTTAGCATATAAAATAGAAGGTCTAGAATTGAAACTAGCTTCTGTATACTATCCTCTATTTGTTTCTGTCACAAAAGGTTCATCATGAAAAGGAGGAAGCTCAAACTGAAATAAGTTACAAACTTCATTTCCAACGCAGGATTGTGGCTTGGCCCTGAGCTGAGGTAAGATTTGACGGTCCTTATGTACAAGACCACGGCCTGCTGCACGGCCACACTCCTCCTGGCCTCTCTTCCTCCTGTTCTCACTCCTTTTCTCTTCCACCCATTGTACTTTGCAAGCTCTCCTTCCTTTTCCCTACTTATTTCATATACCAACGATCCTTCCTACAGTGATCAACTTTTTAAAATGTTTTATTACATTTCTCTATTTTATGTGTATGGGGCAGGGGTTCACATGCTATAACACTGTATGGAGGTCAGAGAACAACTGTCCTTCCACCATGTGGGTTTCTGAGGATTGATCTGAGGTCATCTGGCTTGGTGGCAAGCACCTTTATCCAATGAGCCATCTTGCCAGCCCCTTAATCAACTTTTATAGATTCTTTGAGACCTGTGAACTGATAAGAGAGTCTAAGCTGAGAGGTACATGACAGTAAGCAACTGGGACAGTTTTGCCTTCCTTGGGTTCTGGGTGTAGCCTCCCCACTTCTCTTAGTACAGGTTCCTACCTGTCCCTGTTCCACCACTGAGTGCATCAGAACTAAACCATTCAGTAAGGAAGGGAATAAATAGGACAAGAGACATTTTCTATATTCTTTGCTCCTGCTTTTTCTTTTATCCCATTATTCTGATCCCACTCACCTTTTCAAGCACCTGAGGCAGGAGAGAATCTAACTAACACTGGGCAACAGCCCTGGTCAGGATATGAGGGTCGGAATCCTGTTTTGGGCGGTACAAGGTCTGTGATAATGGGAAAGTTACTTTCTATCCCTAAGTCCCAGGCACATGATCTATGAAGTGAGTCTAATGCAGATGAAATGATTAAATGAGATGAGGCATGAAAACTCTTTATTGCCAGCCCAGTAGCAAGCACTAATTAATTAACTTTTTTATTTTTTATTTATTTTTATTTTTTATTTTTATTATTTTTATTTTATGTGTATGCATGTATTGCCTGCATGTAGGTAAGGGCAGCCATGTCGAGCAGTGCCCACGGAGGACAGAAGAGGCCATTGGATCCCCTGGAATTGGAATTATAGACAGTTGTTAGCTGCCATGTGGGTACTGGGATTCAAACCTGGGTCTTCTGCAAGAACAGTCAGTGTTCTTAACCACTGAGCCATCTCTCCAGCCCCTTATTTATTATTTTTATGTGTATGAGTGTATTGCCTGCATGTGTGCAAGTGCACCCATGTCATGCAGTGCCTGTAAAAGTCAGAAGAGGGCATCAGATCCCCTGGAACTGGACTGACGGATGCTGGTTAGCTGCCATGTGGATGCTGGGAATCAAACCCAGGTCCTTTGCAAGTGCTCATAATTGCACCGAGAGCTCTTAATCATTGAGCCATCTCTCCAGCCCCAATTTTTTTTTTTTTTTTTTTTTTGGTCTTTTTGAGACGGGTCTCCCTGTAGTCCCAGCTAGCCTGGAACTCACTATGTAGACCAGGCTGGCCTTGAACTCACAGAGATCCGCCTGCCTCTGCCTCCCAAGTGCTGGGATTAAAGGCGTGTGCCACCACACCCGGCTTCCCCAGTTTTTTTAATTATTATTTTTCATCATCTCTATTTTAAGTGCTGGTAGAGTTGTCTCATCTTTCCCTTTTTTTTCTGAATACACTTTTTTGGGTCTCATTCGTTTTCACAGTTAAGCTTCAATGGACTAATATGCTGGGGCTGTGCTCATTTTTAGCTTTTATGGACTATTTCAGTCTCCACTTTCTTGCTCATCTTGGCTGATTTTAATTTCCCTGTGAACATACTTTAGGATACAGTGAAGGGAGCTGCTGGGTGGCCAGCAGTGGAAGGCCTGGCAGAGATAATTATGCTCAGAGTTGGGATTCCCACAGTTTGTTTTGCCCAAGTCTGTGTGTTCATAGCATAAGAAGCAGAGGGAGTCTCTCCAACCCAGTACTGACTGACTGAATTGCAACAAGACATGCTCAGTACTTACCCTTTTTTTTGGACTCTGGAGGAAAGGGAGAGTCTGGGGAAGGACTGAGGTGGGATGTATCACTGATATGATAAATCACTGTGATTGTGACTTGCATTTCCTTAGTGATTAATAGTGGTTAGTATCTTTTGGCTATTGAATTTTTAAAATATATTCTTTGTAGAAATATATATATTTAAATAATAAGGTTGGGGCTGGAGAGATAGCTCAGCAGTTAAGAACACTGACTGTTCTTGCAGAAGATCTGGGTTCAAATCCTAGCACCCACATGGCAGCTAATAACTGTCCGTAACTCCAGTTCCAGGGTATCCGACAGTCTCTTCTGTCCTCTGTGGGCATTGTATGGCATGGGTGCACTTACCAACATGCAGATAATACATGCATACACATAAAATAAAAAAATAAAATATTAAAACTTGATCAATAAATAAGGTTAATCTTTTGAGTGTATGAACACACAACATTTTGAGGTTCTGTTTGTTCTGTTCTTACAATCATTTTTGATAGACAAAAGGTTCCCATCACATGAAATCACTGTTTTCTGTTGAGGCTGTTTTCAGAGAAAGAGAGAGCCAGAGTTAGACAGCAGGAGATGAACTAGATAGATGAATTAGATAGAGGTCTACTGTTTTCCTCCCAACCAAGGGCTGAGGCTCAGTCATGAGGTATGGGAGAAGTGTTCTCTGTTTAACGTAATTATGGTATCTTACACAAAAGGATTTGAGATCCCTATGTGGTTGGCTAATTAGAAAGAAATAGTTTGGGGTAGGAGGTGTGCGTGGAGACATACCCTTGCCTTTCCTACTCACCCTAGTCAGTGCTGCCAGTCACATACCCCAGTCACTACTTACGACTGCTCTCTGTGCTGCCACACAACTTTTGTGTTTGTTTGCTTACTGTCTGGACCCCACAGAGTGTTAACTCTGGTTTAGATAGACCTGCGGTGCCTGGTGTGGTGCTAAGCTTTTGACAGATGTTGATAAAAATTTGCTCTGTTAACAAATAAAAGAAGCCATGTAACTATGATAGTCTTTCTGTGATCATTAATGTGTTTTTCATTCCCTCAGTTTTCTAGTGTTTCATGTCAGCATGATGAAGAACAAGTCATCAGTGAATAAGCAAGCTCAAGATGCCCTCTGCATCTCACAGTCTCACAACCTAGGACATCTTAAAAATATACTGGATGGAGGAGAGTATGCCCCTTTTGTATCTCCTCCTGTACTGGAGAGCAATTTTCTTCAGGTAAGTAACACTTGAGCCCTCAATTCAGTTCCAACAATTTCCATATTTAATTTTCTCAAAGACAACTGAGAACTTGAGATGAGAATTGTTTTAAATGTGTTGAGGCATGGCGTAATACTATTAAGGGGAACAATTTTGTAACTTTAAACTTTAAACTTCTCCTGTAGAACATCCTGTCATGGATAATTTCTTTCTTAGACTTAAAATTTTAAAGAAAAACACCTCAGGCTGGAGATGTAGCTCAGTGGTAGAGCCCTTGCCTAGCAGCACAAAGCCCTGGGTTTACTCCCTAGTACCCAAGTAAATAACCATCTGCGAAAAGCTAAGGATTAGGATGGATTTTAGCTGTTAGCTCTCACAGGGAAATATAACTGTCAGCTAGCATCAGAGAGAAAAACTGTGCCTATATTATGAATGAAGACTTGTCAGTGCATCTAGGGGTAGTGCTGGCTTTCCTCTAAACACTGAACATTAGACTGCTTAAGCAAAGAAATGGGGACATGAGCTCAGCAGTGTGGCCCATGCCTGTCACTCACAGAAATGCCACGCTGCTGTCTAATCCCAAACAGCAAGCCAACATACTCAGCTACTCAGCTGATTCCGTGGGGATGACAAGGAGGGTAACAGACACTTCTTCAAAGGTAAGAAGATATCATACTCTTGACACTGACTGAGAGCGACACCCAGAACACATGGCAAGTCATATGTAATGTTCTTTGGCTTTCAATCCTTCTTTCCTGCTAATAATCTTTTCTTTTCTCACCTTTCCTGTGCCCTTTTCAAATTATCCTTTTCACACTCTTAATTACATAGAACTTGGGAGTTGCAGTCTACAGATCAGCCAGTGTAATACCCTTCAATATAGTTGAACTTTCCTGGTTGGTCTTTAGTAGGAAGCCACCAAAATTCCTGACTCTGCAGGTTCAAATGAGGAAGGAAAGCAATCATCTTAAAAGAGTAAAAGAGTCCAGAGCACTAGCTCACTACATAGGAGCTCCTCTCTTTTTGTTTGCTTTGTCACCCTTAAGACACCACATGCAAGCAGAACAGTCACATCTGCCAGCAATACAAGAGAAACATTCATCCTGAGGAACCCTTTCCAAAGTTACCAGACTGCCTCCTGCTGCACATCACTGGCCAGGCCGGGCCACATGCCCCTGATGAAATGACTCACAGGCAAGGGGAATGGGGTCACCATGTCAGTTTTAGGTTGATTAGAATTTAACCTCAAGCTAAGCCACCATTCCTGAGAAACAGATAATAAATAAACCAGGATTCTGTTAATCAGGAAGAAGAGAGGCCTGGCTTTGGGTAATCAATAGTGAGGGCCACAACCTCTAAGTATCTATTTGCTTTTGAGTGGTGAGGTTTTTCTTGAGGATAGGAAGGGCAATAGCAATCAAACCCAGGGTTTTGCATGTTAGGAAGCTCATTACTATTGAGCTCTCTGTAGCCCTTACCTGGCTATTTTTCTTAAGTGAACTAGGAAACTATATATAAAGTATAGTTCCTTTCTGACTTCCTTCTTCAATCTGTATACCCACTTTCCAGTCTCTGTCTCTCTCTGTCTCTCTGTTTCTCTCTCTCTCTCTTTCTCCAACTAGCAGAGATATTTTTTTTGCCCAAATTTCTTGAATTTAGGGTTTTTTGTTTGTTTTTAACACATACTGTTTCTTTACCCAGAAACCCTACCTCTCCGCCCAGTCAGTTCACCTCCTGCATTGTTCAGGCCTCGGCTAAGGGCCCCTTTCTCAGAGGAGATATGTATGACTTTCCAAACACTAGCAATGTTTGGGAAGTTTATAATTGGCTGTTTAATGCAGCTACTATTATTATTTGGAAATAAATCCCACTATGTTGCCTAGGCTGGTCACAAGTCCTAGTTTCAAGAAATCATCCTGCTTCAGCCTGCTTATAAACATGTATGACCATGCCCAGCTCAATACAGCCACTTTTGAAATTAAATTATATTGCTGGGATTACAGTTCAACAGTGTAGTGCCTGCTACATGTATGAGGCCCTGGGTTCAGTCCCCAGTGCCTCAAAAATAACAAGAACAAGAAAACTAATAATGATATCACACACACACTTAAAATTAGATTATGCCTAAGATAAAAGCGGTAAATATCCAAACTTTGTGATATTTAAAATTTTATTTTTATTTATTCCCTTGAAGACAAAGAGTTTAGGAAGCAAAGGTTTATAGAGCATAATAGTTGGTTCTATGAAATTTAAACTAAAGAATATTGTATATTATATATAAATTGTTTGCTATTCAACTTTTACATCATTAACATTTTAAATAAGCCTTTATGTAAATGTATCTCCCAGAACTGTTAAGTGTTTACCAACACATCACCGACTATATCCCTATCCTAAGCTAAATCAAGTACCCTAGTCAGGTGTTCCCATGGCATCCTGAAGTAGTCATTTTCTACTTTAGTTATTTAATACTGGCCTTCCCTGAAAGACCCCACATGCCAGAGACTGTGACTGGTCCCCCTGATACCTCTAAGACCTAATATGAACAAGTAAGGGTAAATAGAGGTGTCATGGCTCATTTCCCCTTTATTTTCTGACTCTGTTACAGTGCTCTAGTAAGCAATAGTGTCAAGTCCATGCCTTTTATCCAAAAAACTCCTTTTCTGTTCTCTGTACTCAGGTCAGTAGGAGAGGTGAATCTATTTACCTGCACAACCGAGCCAACTGGGTGACCGTAGGCATCTGTTCTTCCTGTCCCACCCTCAAGATCCCCAATGTGATGCTGTTGGCACATATGACACCGGCTGTTTATAAAAACACAGAACCCCTCTTTACAACCCTCCTGAAATCTCCCTCTCCTGAGAAGCTGGTGCTCACCAGGTGAGTCACGGAGGGGGAGGACACCATTATCCCGTGCATATGGAAATGGAGAAGTGATGTCCTTGCTCCAATGGAGCATCTCACCTGTACAACCTGCTCCACAAATTACGTAGGAGCGTCCTTAAAATCCACAAATGATGTAGGAGTGTCCTTAATATCCACAAATGACGTAGGAGTGTCCTCAGCGGACACAAATGACGTAGGAGTGTCCTTAATATCCACAAAAGTGGTTTATGATAAAGACAGTGAAACTGGCAGTCAGTTTAAAACACCTAAGTAATAACAACTGAAGACTCAGTAAACTGCCTCTCATATTTTTCTCACCACACTGTCCTCGCTTCCATCAGAATTAGTTCTGGTCTTGTCTCAGCCACTAACTTGGTCTATGATCTTTGAGCAAGTCACTTAATTTCTTTAAGTCTCACTTAAACATTTTGTCATTATATATTTATTATACAAAAGTAATGGGTTTCATTATGGCATTTTCATAAATATATATGAAGTACTTTGATCATATTCACCCTCCATTACCCTCTCTTGCCCCCAAACCTCTCCTACTGGGCTTCTCCATCTCAGATAGTCTCCTTTTATTGGATGTCTTTTGGGTGTGTACACGTGTATGTGTGTGTGAGTATGGGTGCATGTGTACCACAGCACACCCTGGAAGTCAGAGGACAACCTCAGGTATTGTCCTCGCCCTCTACCTGGTTAGAGAGGGTCTCTCTTGTTCATTGCTGTGCACACCCAACTAGGTAGCCCATAAGCTTACAACGAGTTTCCTGTCTCTGTCTCCCTCTTCCAAGTAAGGGTGAGCTGGGATTACAGATGCTTGTGATACTGTGCCTGACTTTTACTTGGATTCTGGGGATCAAAATCAGGTCATCAGGCTTGCATGGCAAATATTTTGCCCACTGAGCCATCTCTCCACCACACCCCTTTTAACAATCTAGATTCTAATAAAAGAAATCATGCAATATTTGTCTTTCTGAATCCAGCTTATTTCACTTAGCATGATCTCCAGTTCAGCAACTTTCCTGCAAATGACATTTCGTTATTCTTTACAGGTGAATAAAGCTCCATTGTGGCTGGGCATGGTGGTACATGCCTTTTATCCCAGTGCTCAGGAAGCATAGGCAGGTGGATCTCTATGAGATCAAGGCCAACCTGGTCTTTATAGTGAGTTCCAGGCCAACTGGGGCTACATAGTAAGACCCTGTCTCAAAAAACTGAAAATACTTATTTTAAAAGCCCCATTGTGTATATATACACATTTTGTTTGGTCATCTACTCCTGGTACCTAGACTGATTCCATAATTTGCCTATTGTGGAAAAAAGAAAGCAGATATGCAGATGTCTCTATTGTGTCTGACTTTGGGTGTATATCCGGAATGGTGCTGCTGGGTGTTCTGATAGTTCTATTAGTTTTCTGAGGAATGTCCATACTGATTTTCATAATGGCTACACTAATCTACATTCCTACCAACAATATATCAGGATTTTCATCCTCACCCCCTCATCCTTGTCAGCAGTTTTTTGTTTTCTTGATAATAACCGTTCTGACTTGAATAAGATGGAATCTAGATGTAGTTTTGATTTGTATTCCTTGACGTCTAAGCCTTGACTTTCACTACATTTTATTTACTTTGTGTGCGCACTGGTGTGTGTGTGTGTGTGTGTGTGTGTGTGTGTGTGTGTACATGTGTCCAAGATCAGATGATAACTTTGTGTCATCAGTTCTCTCCTTCCATCATGTGGGTCCTGGGATTTAACTTGGGTGATCACAGCTTGGCTTACAGGCACCTTTACCTACTGAGCCATCTTACCAACACTATGCCTCAACTTTTTAGGATGAATTAAGATGGGTGATTTTTCACAGTAAATGATTAACATTCTGATCTTCTAGTGACATCAGAGTCTTAGGCACGTGATTAATATGAGATGGCTCTCAGGAGCTCTCACGCAGACCTACCTAGGACACAGACCATTCTCAAAGCTGGAAAAGTCTTTTTAGAGGTCTCCAAACAGGTCCTCAGATGACGTGACATTTGCATTTGTTTGTAGGTTTCTCCCTCTGCAGTTTGTGACTCTCTCTGTGCACGACGCTAAGCACATGCGTCTCAAAGTAAAGCTAGTAAGTGGCCGTGCCTACTACTTACAGCTCTGTGCTCCTATGTATAAACAGGATGACATATTCTCTCAATGGGTGAACCTCATCTCCTGCTTGAGTCAGGAGAAAGCCAAAGCCTCCAAAGTGTCAGAGGTCTCGAGTCTCTCAAAAATCACAAACAGCACAGACATCACAGATTCGATGGACATCATGGACATTGCTGCCTTTGAAGAGATACAGACCATACAGGACCACACACACATATACTCTTCAAACATCGGGGAGAGCACAGACTTCTCAAAATTCACAGATGTCACTGATATCACCGATGTCACAGATGTCACAGATATCCCAGAAAATGAGGTCACAAAGGTTCCAGACATAAATATTTTCACAGAAGTTACAGAGGTTATAGAAGTCCTAGAAGCCACAGGGGTCCCAGACCCCTCAGGGGTCACAGTGATATTTGAAAATGACGACATCATAAGGGCCAAGCAAGAGGAAAAGGTACGTGACACGGAAGACTTTCATTCTTTAATGGTCAAGCACTGGAGCGTAACCAGGATCTTAGTTCTCAGTTAACACTGATGACCAAAGTGCTATGGAATTGACTCTGAATAACATAATTTTAACAATGGATCCAGTCCCTGAGCCTGGTATAAAAGAGTTATAAGATATTTCCTGAAATAGTGGCCGTCCTTACATCAAACTTACCCCAGTATCAGAAACTGATGGTGTTATAGAAAAGATTTATGATATATATATAAGAATTTGTTCAACATTCTTGAAATGATTATGAACCAAGTTCCTTAAAAATACTTATACTCTTTGACAGGAATGAAGATTTAGCTAAAAAGAAGTGAATGGTGAACTGAGGTATAGCTCAGTGGTACAGCACGTGCTTAGCACACATGAGGCCTTGGGTTCAACCCCCAGCACTATACACACAAAGATGTTAATCATACCATATCCATGCCATGCCTATAATAATGAAAGTGTGGGCACAACCTAAACATCCATCAGTTACAGCCAACAAAGCTTAAAGCTATGACGAGCAAGGACCGTATTTTTCTTGTTCAGAGTCTTCCCTAGTATCTGCCAAGCTCACAATAAAAATCTGCTAAATGAGTTAGTATTTTATACTTACTAAAATTGTTATAAACTCTTCCTCAGCCTAAAAATATGCTCATTCTATACAGTTGGGTAAAAAATTGGAGAATATAATCCCTAGGGTATAAAAATCCACGTAGACATGCATACTAAAAGAAAAAACTAGGAGCTGGGGAGATGGCTCAATCAATACATTGCTTGCTGCACAAGCATGAGGACCTGAGTTCAATCCTCAGCACGTACATAAATAGTTGGGCATGGTGGCACACACTTGAAATCCCTGTGCTAAGGAGGCAGAGATAGGCAGATCCTTACAGCTCACTGGTCAGTCTAGTCTAATCAGTTAGGTTCCAGTGAGAAACCCTGTCTCAGAAAATAAGGTGGAAAGTGATAAAGAAAAGATACCTAATGTGGATCTCCAGCCACCATGTGCACATGCTCACAAATGTACACCTCGATACATTGCATGCAACACACACACACACACACACACACACACACACACACACACACAAACACAAACACAAAATACATGCTGTGAATAGCATTATTTCCAAGGAAATATTTCGGTGTTTTAAGATGTAGTGGCCCATGCTGTGCTTGAATTTTCAGCCTCAGTCTCTGTTGTGCTGAGACCACAGATGTGTGCCACCAGGTCCAGCTGTTTTTAAGGAAATACAGTAGAAACAATGGACCATGTGATGACAGTGAGGCAGATGTGAAAGATTCAGAGATTCAGAGCTGGAGCTCACTGACTGATGGCCCTGAGGCCTGGTGAGACATTCTGATATGGTCAGTGAGTAGCCTGGAAAGGTGGTATGTGACAGATAAACCATTAAGAGAGGAGAAGAGATTTTAGAGCGTTTCATTTTACATGTTGGCTATAATTATTGAAAAATGAAATTATTATTGTGAACTCCAAGCCCCTATCACCTATGAGCTCTTAGTAACAACTAACAACCTAACTAAAGAGTAGGCAGCAAGGCATCTCCTGAAAACCCTGCTTGCTCCAGCAACTCAAAAATCAGTGTTGTGATTAATTGTAATTGTCTTCTGTGAGGTCACACTTGAGTACATGACAACATGAACTTTTGAATGCACTGTGCCAGGCTGCAGTGGAGAAGGCCTTGGTTCCCACACCATCTGCTTCCCACACCAGCCTGGGCATCTCTCACTAGCCATGCAACACCCTGCCTCCCTCCCTGTTCCCAGACCTGTGCACTTGTGAACACTTAGTAAGTATGAGTGTAATGACTAGCCTTTACTCTGTTAACAATCTGTTTCTATATGATGCTCTTCTGTTATCTAATTTTCTACTGCTTGTTTTCCAAGGAATATGTTCTGAAGCATGGGTGTCTACGAGATTCAAAAAATAAGAATGAGTTCAGGGAAACCCCCAAACATGTCACCATCTCAAATATAACATTGACTTTCCAAAATGAAAGATGTTTTCAGACTACTTTAACTCCTATAAAAAGCGGAGAAATCATCCCTGAAGAGTCAATTGATAAAACCTCTAAAGAAAACATGACTGATTTTCAAAACACAGCTCTCAAGGCTACAGAATCCAGGTATGTAGAGTAGGAAAATGCTGTGGGCATTCTATGGTATGCATAAAGTAAACAGGTCTATGCTCTTTCCCTGTAACTCAGGCATTTGACTCTAAAGCTTCTCAGACACAATATGACTGGATAGTGACATAGGCAAACTCTAACCATCTACATTTGAGTCAACCTTGGCTAAGTGTTGTTTTCACACCACACTCTTAAGCTGCTCAGCTGGTATTCTGGCTGCTGGCCTAATGCCAACAGTGTGTGCTTTCAAAAATGAAACAGAAACACAGTGTTCACATTATGGAGCTAGAGCGTTGAATTCTATACTGATTATGAGTACTTTTATTTTCATACTCTTCCATATTTTCTACTCCATGGATCCTCTCTACTGCCTTATATGTCTCTGTAGAGCAATCATAATCTGAAAAAAAACTATTTTCATAATTTTAACTTTTATTGCAACATGATTGCAAGCTGAATGTAAGTAAGCATTGTGCTTTGGTAAAGATGAGAGTTAATATGACTGTTCTGGATTACCATTTAAAAAGAACCTAGATCTAAATGCTTACATTAGGCTAAGTGGCACATGCCTGTAGTCCCAGCTACTTTGCAGGCAGAGGCAGGAGGATCCCTTCAGCCCAGGAGTTCCAAACCAACTTGGGGAATCAGAGTAAGACCCTGTCTTAAACAAAGAAACAAAATACATATATTAGTAAAAATTAAAATTAGGTATGTAATTGTGTTTACTTTAAATAAATATATAAAAGAGGGATTGGGAAAGTAGACTATTTGCTTAGCATATACAGGTCCTGGATTTATCCTCAACATTGGAAAAAAGTTATATGTATTGTATGCACACAGGACAAGAAAAAGCAACTGAAGAATGAAATTAACCAGTTAAGTAATAAGTAGTTATAACTAGTTAACTAGTTAAGTAATTTGAGTGCTAAAAAGAGCTTTGATGATTTTTTTTTAAAAAGAACAAAACTAGCAAACTATTGGGATGGATAGTTTTTTCAAAGAGTATAACTGAGAACTTCATAGATATTATATAAAATATTAATACCAGGAAGAATAGTAAAATGTTGTTGAGACAGTCTATCTAAAACTTTAGAACTTGGAGACAATGAGGGCTGGAGAGATGGCTGGGCAGCTAAGAGCACTGACTGCTCTTGCAGAAGAGCCAAGTTTTGTTCCCAACACCCACATAGCAGCTAATAGCCATCTGTAACTCCAGTTCCAGGGGATCTAATGCCCTTTGTTGGCTTCCTCAGGTATTGGGCACACACATGGTACACATACATACATGTAGGCACTCACACATACACATAATCTAAAAATAAATCTTTTTTAAGAACTTTGACACAGTAAGTAAATGACTTAAACAAAATGAAAATTGGAAAAACTAGAGCAATCAGAAATTGAGAACTTGGGGGGGCGGGGGGCTGGAGAGACGGCTCAGCAGTGAAGAGCACTGGCTGCTCTTGCAGAGTTTTGTTCCCAACATCCATGTGGCAGCTAACAGCCACCTGTAACTCCAGTTCCTGGGAATCCAATGCTCTCCTCTGCCCTCCATAGGTGCCTGCTCTCCCATAATGCACATACAGGCAAGCAGGCACACACATACATGTAAATTTTAAAAATAAATAAAATTTTAAGAAAGGAAATTGAGAACTTAAAAGAAATAGAAGTAATCAGAGTTCTCATTAAAGAAAAAAGAGCTTTCTGAATTTTACTGAACAGTTTTCTTTCTTTTTTTTCAACTCTGAATTGTCTCTGGTTTATGTCATGTTTTTTCTTAAATATAGGCTTATAAAAAATATGTTTTGTTTCCCAAATGTAAGTTTGCTTTTTGTAAAGCCAGACAAAAACAGTACAAGAAAGACTATTCTGTTAATCCCACTTTTAGGCTTTGTATTCATTTGCTTCTCTATTGCTGTGATAAAACACTCTGACCAAAATCAACTTGTGGAGGAAAAGGTTTGTTTCAACTTACAGCACAGCCCTTCACTGAGGGAAACCAGTACAGGAGCTCAAGCAAGAACCTGAAGTTTGGGGCTGAACAGAGACCATGGAAGAACACTGCTCTGGCTTACTCAGAAATCTTTCTTATACAGTCCAGGCCCACCTGCCCAAGGATGGCACTGCACACCATGGCCTGGACCATCCTACATCACTGCATCATATAAAAATGCCTCACAGACAGTCACGGGACAGTCTGATGGAGGAAATTCCTCAGTTGAGGTTTCCTTCTCCCAGGTGACTCTAGTTTGTGTCAAGTTGAAAAAACTAACTAGTTTATACTTATTTCTTAGAACCTCAGTAGGCAAAATATAGCAAGAATAGTCATGGCACTTTGATAATGCTGGAAAATTCATATTCTTGATGATTAAAAATATCTGCATAATGGTGAGTTTCTCTTTATCATGATAAATAATATTCACTGCAAACCACAACTAATTTAGTTTTGTTTTCTGACACAACCTTACTACAAAGGCCAGGGTAATCTCAAATTCACTATGTATCCCATGCTGGCCTATAAATTATGATCCTCCTGTCTCAGTCCCAGAAGTACTGGGATTACAAGCGAGTGCCACCACACTTAACAATATTAGTATTTTTTTTTTAAATGAAGAACTTCTATGGTCGGTGGGTGGTTCAGCAAGTAAAAGTGCTTACCTAACAATCCTGATGACCTGAATTTGATCCAGGAAAGCCACAGTGGAAGGAGAGACCTGACTCCTGAAAGTTGCCTTCTGACCTCTACACACACACTGTGGCACAAGCGCATGCGCGCACATACACACACACACACACACACACACACACTAATAAAATTTAATTAAATTTAAAAAAGAAATTTTAGATATGTTTTATTTAAAATTAGAATAAGAAATTTTCCATTAACATTTCTGTGTAATGCAATTTAAAAAGTTCTGCAACTATAATAGAACAAAGAAATATAAAAACTATAATTTTAAAAAGTTAAATCACAAAGTGCAGTAGCACATGCAAGCGCCTTAACCCACTGAGCCATCTGGCTGGCCCAACTTGTGTGTTTTTTTTTAAATGTATTTATTTATTTTATGTGTATGTATGTATGGCTGTATTATGTGCACCAGGTGTGTGCAGGAGCCTGTGGAGGTGGGAAGAGGGTGCCAGATCCCCTGGAACTGGAATTATAGGCAGTTGTGAGCCACCATGTGGTACTGAGAACCAAACCCAGGTTCTCTGTAAGAGTAGTAAGTGCTCTTAACCTCTGAGCCATCTCTCCAGTCCCTCAACTTGTATCTCTTAAAGTAAGACTGATCCTTCTTCAAGCATGTGTCTATCTTCTGGAGTCAATTTACTGTTCCTTAGTTGTCCTTTAATGGCTGCACCAGTTCTCCAGCCCTAATTTACTGTTCTTTAAAGAATTTGTTAATGGGAAATTTTACAAATTCCCATCAATTACTTACAAAGGTAATCTATTATCTTTTCCCTATTTTGTTGTTATGCATACAGGTATGCTATGCAAGCAGCTATTTTAAATTATTTATTTGGTAGAGATTTGTAATTGTCAGGCAACTTGGAACTCTATTCCCCCAGAGCTTCATACTTCCTTATTTCTCTGCTCAAAAGTCCTCTCCTCTGTTTTTGCCTTCTTCAAATCTCTCTCTCTCTCTGTCTTTTTTCACCTTCTCCTCTTCCTCCTTAGCTCACATTTTATCATGGTATACTCTAGCTGGCATAATATAGTCTGTTTGTTTATGATCTGTCTCCTCCACTAGAATAAAACACTTCAAGAGACAGAAACTTGATTATTTTTGCTGTTGTATTCCCTGTTCTTGATGCATACAAGGAGCTTGGTAAATATTATTGAGTGAATGAATCACACTTTGCCATTGAAAATTATTTTTGTTGTCTCAGTGGGCAAAAAGGGACTCTCCTATGTAACTGAGGAAAGGATATAATTTCATTTTCTTCTAGTTTTAGTTTTTTAAATTTACTGCTTTTCTATCTGATTGGTTTTTGGTTGATACAGAATAAATCTTTCACTAACATTTCTGTTGGATTTTTCTATACTTCTTTTGCTCTCAGATGAGTTGACTCTATTTTCTAAACTTTAAACTTCGTACTGGTAATTGTGGTGGCGGGGGGGGCACCGACAATCAAACCAAGAGCCTTGCATATGGCAACTATATAGTTTACCACTGGGCCACTGGGGTGTGCTCCCACCTTTAAGGTTTTATAGTTCCATTTATTTTACTTTTTAATATTTTATTTATTAATTTATTTTATGTGTATGAGTGTTTTTCTGGCATATGTGTAAGTGTACCCATGTCATGCAATGCCCACAGAGGCCAGAAGAAGGCATCAGATCCTCTGGGACTGGGGTTATGGATGGTTGCTAGCCATCATGTGAGTGCTGGGAATTGAACCCAGGTCCTTTACAAGAGTAGCCAGTGCTCTTCACCATTGAGTCATCTCTCCAGCCCCGTATACTTCCATTTATATAGATATAGGTCTCTTATCACCATCACTAAATATTTGAATTTTCAAATATATTACATTTATTTATTGTACATGTATGCACCTCTCTCTCTCTCTCTCTCTCTCTCTCTCTCTCTCTCTCTCTCTCTGTGTGTGTGTGTGTGTCTGCTTTATAGCCAAAGGAAGAACCATCAGCCCAAACACGAGTCTCACGGTAGGAATTTTCCCCTTAGACTAGGAGCTAATTATATGTACTTATGGCTCAATGTGGGAATTGTATTATCATCCACAGATGATATCCACAGATGTAACTAAAACAAATTTCCCCCAAATCACTGGTGCACTGTATCTCACTACCCCAGTTATTGGGGACTGAATACAGGGTCTCCACTAAGCTACCACTAAGCTACATCCTTAGTCTTACTAATTTTCTACTTTAAGACAAAATCTCAATATATAGTTCAGGTTGGCCTGAAACTTGGCATGTAGCCTAGACTGGCTCAAACTGGCAATTCCCTTGCTTGGCCTCCTGAGTAGTTGGAATTACAGACATAATCCACCAGTGCGCATCTCACTGACCTATTATTTCTTGATGGTAACCACTGAGTTGTTGAACAGAATTAAACAATGACCAGTAGAGCTACTAATCAGTGTCATGTCTTAGAGGATAAAGAAGGACAAAGATATTTTTAAAACAGGAGAACAGGGACAATAAGGGAGGAAGAGAGAAACAGAAACCATTGGTCAGAAATGTGGAAAGGAAACAGGAACACAAAATCCAGAAAGACAGAAGTGGGTGCCACTCGGTGGGAAACATAACTTTTACTATTTTTTTATACAGAAGTGTGAGTTTAATAGAGAATGATAAGATTTTTAAAATAAGGAAAAATGAATCTATCCAGTTTAGCAGATTTGTCCTAAGTAATTACTATTCAGGCCTGGCCACTCTGATGTCAGCTTTTTATTTTATTTCATTCTCACAACTCATATACAATGTTCCTACCCCCTGTCTAACACCTCAGAATCATGCCACAAATTAAAATCTCTCAAGGTGAACTATTTAAATCAGCTTCTTCCTTCTTTTCCCTTTCACATTCTGTGTGCTCCACTGGACAAACTTTACTTTCTGGTACAGCTTTAGATTTACAGACTAAATCAGACTACAGGACCACAGCCGCCTCCCCTCCGCACCTCTGCAGTTTCCTCATTAACTTCTTAACATGTTGTAATCAGTGAACCGATGGTTACATGGTATTAAGTAGCTGTAGTTTAGTTTACAACATGAAGGTTCATACTTCGGTTGTAAAGTTCTGTGGGTTTTGACAAATGCATGGTAACATGTATCCACCATTACATTTTCATGCAGAATCATTTCATTGCTCTAAAATCCTCCTCAGTATTAGTTTAGCTCTTTTTTCAAAGGTTTGTTTTTAATCATGTGTATGCACGTGAGTGCGGTTGCCCATGGGGGCCAGAAGAGGGTAATGGAGCCCCTGGAGCTGGAGTTATAGATGGTTATTAGCCACCTGATGTGGACTGGAAACTGAACTCAGGTCCTATGGAATGTGCTCTTACACAGTATGTGCTTTAACTGGTGACCCATCTCTCCAGCCCCCTAGATTAGCTCTTAATGGCTTTTTTTCTTCATTTTGAACCTAGGGCCTTGCACACACTAGGCAAGTGCTCTACCTTTAAACCACATCTCCAGCCCTTAATTTAAATTATTTTTTGCATTTTATTTATTTAGCGAGAATGCGTGTGTGCACACATGTGTGTTACATAAGCTAGGGCACACATGTGGAAGTGCTAGGACAACTTTCGGGAGTTGGTTCTCTCTTTCCACCATGTGGAGCACTGGATCAAGCTCAAGTTGTCAGGCTTAGTGGCAGGTGCCTTTTACCCTCACTCACCCCCTTAATTGCTTTTTTTAATATAAAAATTACAATAATAATCCATGAAAAATGCTCTGTAGATGCTAGGTGTTGTTAGTTTCACTTTTATGATCACTATTAGAAATTATGAGAATCCCTATATAAGTAGCAAAAATAGAAAATTTTAAATATGAGGATCTATAATTTAGCAAATCTTAAACTCTTTAGGGCTCTACCCATTAGCTTCCTGTGCCATTAATCTACTGACTACTAGGGAAAAGTAAGTAGGAAAAGAAAACACACCTAAAAACTATATTTTATTCTAAGTAAGTAATCCTCTTATGCTCGGCTCCATGGTACATGGGTTCCTTTTTATTGCCTGCTCGCACTGGGAACATAATTAGTAGCTGAAGTCTAATTTGAGAATGCTAATTACAAAGGAAAGATGTAATATTCTAAGAATAGAATGAAATTCACTAAAGCTTTATTCTGGGG